CCTTCCATTGCACCATTCCCCGTGAGCTGTTTTAAGAGTGCTGATTAAATAAAGGAAACTTGGAGGGGATGTACTGATTCACAGCATTTAGGGAAGGGTTCAGATTATAAAAGCACATGAACAGCTGGGCAAGAGCTCAATTTCTAGATCCAAGACATTCCCCTTATGAAATTACTTCTTCCTGCTAGTTTGCTCCTCTCTTACCATAAACTTTCTTCAAATATTGTTGAACATAGCTCTTGTTCATACCCAAGCTTTACGTTTCCACCAAGGAGAGAGAATGGCCTTTTCTTGAAACTAATTTGAAAATCCCCAGGGAAGTATGATCGTTTGACCACTACTGGACTCATCAATTGTGTGGCAAAGGGACAAATGCTGTGATTAACTTGGCTTAGGTGTAATATCATGCCTGGACGACCATGGGTGGGAAAGTAGAATTGTCTAAAAATATGGCAGTTTCTAATGAAGCTTTGTGTATGTCAAGACAAGTGGAGGTACTGTTTTCAGGGGCATAGATAAGGAAGGTTGTGAAAAAGTTTTATACATGTTTATTTATTATTGTTATTATTATTTTGCTTACATGTATTTTCTTTGTTAGTTTTTAATTTATGTGTTTGGTTCAGAGTCTCACTACACAGCTCAGACTCATAATGATCCTCCTGTTTTCAGCTGCCCAGCACTGGAATTACAGGCGAGCACCACTGTGCCGGGTCTTGGTGGTCAGCGCAGCATGCCCAGGGGTGGGGCTGGCTCTGCATGTGGTGCTGGGGATTGAAGCCTGGTCCCTGTGTTTGCATAAGCAGGTGGTGCTTAGTCTGCTGAGCTATTTCGCCAGCCCTGCTTACATGTATTTTCACAAATGAATGTGAAATCCTAATGTCTATATCTTAAAACAGTGACCCCGTCTTATTTCCTAGGGGTTGAAAATACATTAGCTTTGAAATATAATAGACCTCAACATATATAAATTTTAAAAATTAACATTGTGCTTACCAACACATTCTATGCATAACTTGTGTTATAACCTTTACTCTTGGT